TTTTAAACATTTTCTAATGGTGGTGTGCCTCGTGATTTTTTTCATGAAAAAAGTGTGCCTTTGCACAAAAAAGGTTGAAAAACACTGTTTTAAAGACATCGTAAGAAGACACCTGAAAACTCCTGCTGTGTTTTCTAAACGTTGTAGACAAAACAAGCAGAATCTGGGATGAAAGAAGTATCATTTTACGGTCTCTAGTATCGTTTTGCAGTTCTCTCTCACAGCCCCCCAAAACCAGTTCAAACATATATTGATGCCAGTGGCGCATACAGGCAGTCCTGGAATCACAACAGTTCATTTAATGACAATACAATAGAATAAAATAGAAGAATAGAATAGGAATCTAGTCAACTAATGTTCAGTACTAAGTTGGCACCAACTCAGTTGGAACTCAAGAGGGCATGAAGTCCATTTGTGGGAATATAACAACTCTAGGGTAATGACCCACTTAACTCCACCCCTTAGGAAAGGAATGGAATAGAATAGAATAGATTTATTGGCCAAGTGTGTTTGGACCCACAAGGAATTTGTCTTCGGCACATAAGCTCTCAAGCTACAACGGCACTGAAAAAGGTGACTGATGACCGTTTCTCAGTTACGACCTTTGCAACTTCCCCATGATCATGTGGTCATCTTTTGCAGCCAATGGGGAAGCCAGGTTCACTTAACAACCGGATGCCTGACTTATCAACTGCAGCGATTCCCTTTCCTGTGGCAGGGAAGGTTGTAATATGGGGCAAAACTCACTTAACACGCGTCTCACTTAACCACAGAAATTTTGGGCCCAATTCTGTGAGGGCTACCTGTACTTTGCTGCCTAAACAGGACACCTGGATCAGGCACCTCCTTGGCAATCCTACCGTATTTTTCAGAGTATAAGACGCACCCTTTTTCCTCAAAAAAGAGGCTGAAAATCTGGGTGCGTCTTATACATCGAATACAGCATTTTTTTGCCTCCTGAAGCCCCACCCCCCCTTGACCAAAATGGCCGTACCTAGCCTTATGGAGGCTTTCAGAGAACTCCTGGGGCTGGGGAGGGCAGAGATGAGCAAAAAATGGGCCGTTTCCCCCCCCCACAGCCCCCAGCAGCACTCCATAAGGCTATGCATGCAAATTTTTTGACAAAAAACGGGCCCGTTTTCATGAAAAACGGGCCATTTTTTGCTCTTTTTGAGGGGGGCACTCTCCCCAGGAGCACTCTGCAAGCCCCCCCCNGGGGGGGGGTGCATACATGCATGCGTGGGGAGTGGGACCGCACGGACATTGCATTTTGGGGGTTTGGCCACTCGGTCCGGAAAAGGTTAGCCATTCCTGTCCTAGGTAATTCTACGCTGTCCAAAAATTTCATCGTTGGAAGATTCTTCATTTGCCTCATTATTTTTGCTACCCAAGTTAGACGGTTTTTAGGAGCCTGTGATTCAGTATTCGCTTTGTAAGCGTTGTGGAAACAGAGCTCCGGGGAGAATAGCAGTGGGATGATTACCGAAGATCACCCGAGGGGAAAAAAAAAAATTGGAACCCGTAACTTGTTTTTCTTCATTACGTGAACTCAAAAATCTTCACCGACTGGCCTGACGCAGGGCGCCCTTTCATTATATTTTCTCACATGTCGGATTCTTTCTTTTCTTTTTTTTTGAAAAAAAAAAGTAACACAGCAATTAACACCGAGAGGCGCCAGAAAAAGTACCAGAATTCGCTTATCTAAAAAGATCTCCAAGGCAACCAGCCCCCAAAATAATGAGTTTCCAGAAGTAGCGTGCTTGATTTTACACAGTGCTATGAATGGGGGGGTGGGGTGAGGGGGGGGAGAGAGAGAGGACACAGAAATGAGAAACATTCAGAGGATACTTGGGAGTTTCTATGAAGCAAAGTCGTCTCGCGGCAAAAAGCCCAGGAGAGATGCAGAATTAGTGCTCACCTTATATATCAAAGCTGAAAGAGAAGGATCCCTGCCAACCCCTCGCCCACCGGGGATCTTCGACAGTGGGTGAGGGGCATCAGGAGCACCACAGAGGCCCTGGAACAATGTGCCTACAGCACGGTACCTGGGGGCAGTTACTCAAAGGTAAGATACTCCTGGAAGAAGAAGACGAGAAACACAAAGGTGAGAAACCACAAGATTCAAACGAGACTCAGGAGTGTAACATCCTGGCGGTTAGCCACTAGATCAAGCTAAAGGCAGCCCTTGCAGGAGATAATCTGAGCAGTTCATTTTACTACTGGCGAAAGACCATGATCCAACCCAGTGGTGGGATTCAAATAATTTAACAACCGGTTTCTCTGCCCTAATGACTGGGTAGGTGGGGTTCGGTGGTCATGTGGGGCTCGGTGGTCATGTGACTGGGTGGGTGTGCCAACTCAAAGTCACCCAGGTCGATGGGCGCTTCGCCTTAGCTGTTATAATGAGGGTTAACCGGAGGGGCAGTTTCTGTAAGCAGGTCAACAAAGATGAGGCTAGAAACAACACTAG